CTGTCTTCCAAAGTGGTTGTACCGTTTTTGCTTTCCAACCAGCAATGGATGCAGTTTTATTTTTTGTTTTCGTTTTCTCAGCCTTCTAACGGGGTGTAGGAGCCCCAGTGGCCTAGCGGTTGGTTATACATTGGGCTGCAATCCGCAGTTTTCAGAAACCACCAGCCACTCCTCGGGAGAAAGACAGGACTGTCTACTCCTGTGAATGGTTACAGGCTCGGAAACTCCCAGGGGAAGTTCTACACCGTGCTGTAGAGTCTCTCTGAGCCGCATCTACTCAATGACAGGAGTGAATGGGGGCTTAACTAAAAGGTCGGCCGTCTGAACCTGCTAGCTAGCTAAAGGTAGAAACTAGGGGTTGTCCCTCTACATGCTAAGGCCTCCCTCTCCCCTTTACAGGACGTTGGAAGCCAATAAAGGCTAGAGGGCATGCACCAATGCAGGCCTTTGAGACGGGAAACCAGTACACTTGGGAGGGCCCCAATCTAGGCCAGGTGGGCTTAATTCAGCCAATGGGGTCAACCAGTACTGTCGACCAGGCCTCCCATCTGAGGGCCGGGAAAGTCAGAATCGGGAGCCCACCCCCACCCACTCCTTGCCAGCTGCTCCTCGGCTGTGCTGCTGTCTCTGGCCTCAGGTCGCCACCTGCAGGTGTGAAGTGCCCCGAGGGCACCTGTGTCAAACCTGAAACTGTTATCCTTTATAAAACTCACTTGGATCACAAACCAGGCTTCCGTGTGAATTCTTTCTCGCAGGAAAATACGGACCGAGGACCCACCAGCTGGTCTTTAGGAGAAATATTGGACAGCAATCATGACCCTGGAAGCCCAAAACGGCAGTTCCACCTGTCCTGTGGGGTCACGGGAGCCAGCATCAGGCGACGGTAGTAAATGGGTTTGGTTTGCTTTTGCTGAACAGCAGTCCTTTATCAAGTAGTCTCCCACATTTATTTGCCGTAACTCTCCCAGCATTCCTGAGTTTACCTTTTGGGGGGACTTCCTCCCAAGAATGTTCTCTTCTCTTTTATTTGGCAAACTTTCTGGGGCATATTTCATCGCATATTTGCGATGGCGCAACCATTTCGCTGGAAAGAAATTCTCCCTGGTTTCTTCTCCCCACCCCATTTCCTCCCAGGTCCCAGTACTCACCTGGTGGCCTGGCGGCTAAGCCTTGGGCTGTGATCTGAATGTCCAGCAGTTCGAAGCCACAGCTGCTCCTCGAGAGAAAGGCGGGGTGGGGCGTCCTGCTCCCATGAAGAACTCACAGGGGCAGTTCTGCCCTGTTCTATAGGACCCTATCTTACAGGGTCACTGTGAGCCAGCAACACTGCCTTCAGGTCTCCCTAGACGCTGGCCTGAACGCGGCAGCTGCCCAGAGTCTGGCTCTAATAACCCCTCACTTCTTTGCAGCCTGCAGTAGTCAGGCAGGCTGTGAAAACAGCATTTCCCAGCAGCCTCTCTCAGCACATCCCTTCCCATTCTGTCACCTCATGCCCTCCTAACTCACACCCTCTCTTCACCCCCAGCCCCACCCCAGAGCACTGAGACCTTGGCCCGAGCCCCTGCCCCTTCCCCTCTCCTCCCAGACCTCCCATCCCGCCCTCCTGCTCATCAGCAATGCCTTCAGCTCCCATCTCAATCTGCCCCACACAGGGAAGACCCACCCCCACTGGGCCCAGCCTCCTCCAGGAAGCGTCCCCTAGCACTCTTGGGGCAGGCTCCCCCTGGGTCTGACTGCCCCACTTCATCAGCACACGACTAAGCCTCTCTAAGCTTAGAGAAGGGAGTGGGGGAGGCAGGAGTTCTGTCCCTATCTGATCACAAGACTGGTTCCCCGCTTCCCAGGATCCTTCTGTAGAGGGAGACCATTCAGTCATGGGGTATGGGGAGAACTCTGAGAAGTATGGACCCCAGTCCTGTTTAGGGAGAAGCTCAAGGAGCGGGAGGCCCCCATGTCCCATTTTCCCTATGGGGTATATGTGCAGGCACGTAGAGTGTGTCTCTGTGTGCATGTGTCTGTGTGAGACTGTGTGGATGGGAGTGAGACGAGCAACACACACACACGCAGGCATATAGAGTGTGTGAGTCTCTGTGTGCATGTGTCTGTGTGAGACTGTGGATGGGAGTGAGATGAGCAACACACACACACACACACACTTCTCTGACCTCAGAGAACATGCCAGCAAGTGTTGGGGCACCACCTGGTGGTCATGAATTATACTACAATTTATTGCCCCAGACTCCACCCTCTACCGCCCCCCGCCCACACACACACAGAGCTAGCTCCTTCCCTGGGGTGTCAATCCACTTGCTTGCCAACTCTACCCAACAAGGCAGTCCACCTGAGACCAAAGACAGAGACCCTGTCCTCTTGAGCAGGCATCCTCAAACTACAGCCCGCGGGCCACATGCTGCCCGCTGAGAACATTTATCCGGCCGCCAGGTGTCTTTGCCCCGTTTTGTTTTTTACTTCAAAATAAGATATGTGCAGCGTGCATAGGAATTTGTTCATAGTTTTTTTTTTAAACTCTAGTCCCGCCCTCCAACGGGTCTGAGGGGCAGTGAACTGTCCCCGTTTAAAGTTTGAGGACCCCTACTCTTGAGTCTCATGTTCCAGGGTCTGTCCTCCATACAGACTCAAGCAGGGCAGCTGACCTCTCTGTACCTCGGGTGAATTTGGTTACTGAACAAGAATAATAGTATCTTCTCTACGGAATCATTACAGGGCAGCTTGCATTGAATGTCAAAGGAAACCATTAGATCGGGAGAGCACGAGCCACTGGGGCCAGGCTGTATCTGGTCACCTCATGAGGACCGCTCAAAGGGGAGATCCTCCTCCTGCCCCTCCTCCCTTGCTTGGCAATCCTTGACATCCACCCTGCCCATCTCCCCAGGGAGCTCACCAACACCCCCACCCCATGCAGGTGAGGGTGATGGTGAGCCAACACCCAGCTGGATTTTTCACAATGTCCCGTGGACTCCACTCCTGGTCTACCCTTTTCCCCCATGTGTTAGTTATGTAATCTGGTGTTAATTTGCGATGATTAAGAGTGAAGGGGTGGAGTTTAGCCTGTCAATCAGGTCACAGCTTGATGACCTCATTTGGAGGCCCTACGGAGATAAATAGCTCATTGGAGGCCAGACACACTCTCTCTGCAACACATTCCTGTTGACAAGCCACATGGAGCTATGCTAATGCAGCCAGACCTCTGGAGCTGGAGGTACCACGTAGAGCCCCCTGCCAGCACTGAGATGCTTCCACTACCACTGGATCCACAAGACTTTACACCTACACCTACGGGCCTGTGATCTTCTTGCATTCAGTGCCATTGCATGTGTTGCTATAGACTAGTATAGGACATATGGGTTAATATCAGACTTATGGACTTGATCTGGACTGGGCTGGGATGTTTTCTTAATATACAAGTATTCTTTATATAAAGCTCTTATTTATACACACATATGAGTCTCCATGGATTTGTTTCTCTACCTGGGCTAACACACCCCAACTAATTGATCAAGGAGCCCTGGTTACATGATAGGCTGTGATCCTCAAGGTCTGAAGTTCAATCCCACCAGCCGGCTCCATGGGAGGCAGGTGGGGCTCTCTACTGCAGTGAACAGTTACAGTCTTGGAAACTCACAGGGGTAGTTCTATCCTGTCCTATAGGTTTGCCAGGAGTCAGCATTGAGTATCTCTTGAGTTCCAGTATCTCTTGAGTTCCTCCCTCGCCCAGCCCAGGTCAGGCAGCATCACCCCTGGAATGACCCTGCCCAGCCTGTCCACCTGCAGTCCCTGTCCCCTCTCCAGCACATCAGAGTCCCTCTCCTTGGGGGCTCCTTTCCCAGCTCCCACTGCCTGCAGAAGGAAGTCAGATGCCTCAGACGTGTCACCCCAATAGCCCCACACCTGCTCAGACAGTTGCTTCAGCACAGGGCCTTCCCCTGCAGGCTGCATGTCTGCGAAGGGCCGACTGGCCTGGCCACCGGGGCATTGTGCTGTGAGAGGACAGAGACCGACTGGGGGTGGGGCCCAAACGGGCTGAACCAGGACGGGGTCTGGAACTCTGTGCCCACTGGAGGATGATGGAGGCGCTGAGACCAATCAACCCAGAGGAGCAGATTTCTAACCAGGACAGGCTGTGAGGCCTGCCCAGCAGACATGCTCTGTGGCCCCAAAGGCAAGATCAGCACCCAGGGCTGGCCAGTGGAGGGGTGAGGGTGGGGGTGGTCACAGAGGACCCTATCTTCTTCCAGTCCTCTTGTCCTCCCTGCTCCCCAATAGGGTCTTCAGAGAAAGAGGGCCCCTTCCCATACCATCTTATACTGATCCAGAGGAGAGGGGCATGGTAAAATCAAATGGGGAGGGGGGCCTGGAGGCTGCCAGACACAGCACAGGCTCCTTATGCCCCTGTCTATCTGTCCATCCGGAGAGCAGGGGACTAACCCCACAGACACGCCAGGGCTGGATCAGACGTGGAGTCAGAAGCAGGGGTACCCCTTTGAAAGGACTTAAGAGAACCTGGGGTACAGGATTTCTGGGGGCACAGACAGGCATGCCTTCAGCTAAAAGGGGTTCCAAGGCCCAAGCCCCTGGGTGTGTGGCACTCCTGACCAAGGTCGGCCAGTAGTCCAAGGAACTGGGAGCCCCGGGAGCCCCCTCCAAGCAGCCTCCCTGATTGTTTCCGCCACTCAGTCCCCTCTTTCTAGTCGTCCACCTGTTATGACCTCTCCTGCTCCGTGCCCACACCTTATCACCTCCCCCCTCCCCCCAGCCCCACCATCTGGCACGGGGAGTCCCTCAGTAGGTCTATAAGCTCTCCCCGAAGAGGGGGTAGGCACTGGAGGCAAGGGCCCTAGTCTCCAGAGAGTTCCCACAGGTCTTTGCTCCCCTCAGTCCTGACACAGGTGAGTAACCAGGTGCATACAGGCGGACACACCACCAACACCACCACCACCACCACCATTCACAAAGTCTGCGCACAGCCCCGAGGGGCAGGGCCATAGAAAGAAATAGATTTATTCTCATGTACAAAGCGGTCAGCCCACAGGACCATAGACAACACAGAGTCCTAAAAAACGCAGCTCTCTAAAGGCAACTCAGAATAGGTAAGGCAGGTGGCCCCCTCCCCCCACCCCACAACACACACAGAACCCAACAAGGAAGAGAGAAGCCAGCGCCCGGCAGACCCCCAAGGCTGGCCCCGAGGGGCTACCGGAGCCCGGGCACAGGTGGTATGGCCTTGAGGAGGAGAGACACCTGCTGGGGCTCAGCCTGGCCCCTCTCTGGCTATAGGAGTCGCGGCGTTCAGGTCAAGTGGGCACAGTTCAGGGGGGCACGGAGGGACTCTCTGGGCCCAGGGAGGCAGGAACAGGCCAGGCCCTCACCTGGGCTGCCAGAGCTACAGACTTGGATCTAAAAGGACGCTTAGAGAATAGATTGTCTTCACCCCATTTTGACCAGAGAGGCAGAGGGGCTGGTCCAGGGTCACGCAGCCAGGAGGAAGCGCTGCGGAGAGACTCAAAGCTAGGCCTGCCCGTCTCCCAGCCTGCCCTCCTCCTCTGGCAGCTACCTCCCGGGTCCCACAGATCACCCCACCTGCGGCTCGTCCTCAGGGCCCCCTTGGACTGGATGGCAATTTCTAATCCCTCCACCACTGGGTGCTGCGGAGCACCGCCCTCTGCACACCCTTCCAATGAGGACCCAGGGGACCTGGGGAGTGCCCTGGGGAGAAGGGCACAAGCCCGTGGGGTGGGGATGGGGCACCGGAGGAAACGGCACAGGCTGCTTCAGAGAAGGAGTGGCGAGGGGAGGATGGAGTCGCCAAGGTGCTATCAGAGGGGCAGAGTGGGGCCAACTGCTCATTGGTGACCCCAGCGCCCTCGAGGGCCAAGTACAAAGTCTTAGGGAGGCTGAGAGCCTGACTGCCGTTCTACAGATGAGGAAGCTGAGGCTCGGGGAGGGCGGGACTTGTCCAGGGTCACGTGGGAAGTCCTAGTCTAGAGCCCAGGGCTCCTGGCTCTGGTCCCCAGTGCATCGGGCCAGGCCGATGGAGGGTGGGGGAAGGGGGAGGCCTGGGCAGGGAAGGGTCAAGGGAGGGGCTCATTCCGCCTCTGGGCTGCAACAGCCATTGACGGGGGCCCTGGAGCCGTCCAGCTCGGCGACCTCATACTCCTCGTCCAGGAAGTCCAGGGAGTTGTTGCTTGGGAGGCCGCGGATGGTGAACTTGTGGGACACCTTGGTCCAGTGCTCACGGTTAGAGGCCACACGCTCATACAGCTCTGCAGCCTTGGGGAACAGGTCCTGTAGCAGTCTGGCGGGGGTGGGGGGAGCGTGGCAGGGATAGATGATTCAGAGATCACAAGCTATGCAGGACAGCATGCAAGACTGGGCCGAGCCTCTGGATAGGATTTCCACCAGGCTGTGAGGCACGCAACGGCACCCTCAAGGAGAATTAAAAATGGCCCCTTCCCCACGGGTGACCAAGGGTGAAGAGAAGATCCCACTTTCACTTAGGGACAGAGCAGGAGACAGCTGGGCCAAGGCAAGGAGCGGGCCACCTAGACCTGGGCCCAGCCACGCCCATGGGACTGGCCTCTGCACTTGGCCCTGGCCCTCCCCACCTCTCCACTCAGGGGCCTGGCCGCCCACTCACTTGTAGATGGGCATTGCAATGTGCTCCATGAAGCTTATCTGCAGCTCCGGGATGTAGGCCTTCTCTCGGTCCATCATCTCCATCGGCCTGTTGCCCATGGCTTTCTCCTGAAGGCACAAGGTCGCCACCCTCAGGCATGGCCCTCTTATTGCTTGATCAGGAACCAGGGTCAGGCTAGCCCAGCTCCTTCCACCCCTGGGTCGAAACCTCGCCCAACCTAGACACCCTGAGGTCCCATCACACATACCAAGTCTCCCTGGGAGAAGAACTCTTTGTAGATCAGCTCCTGAAAGGCCAACACACTCATCACACCCCGGGAGTAGAATCCATCTACCAACCTCCTCTGACAGCCCATTCCCAAGAGGGCAGACAGAGACCCAGTGGTTCAGGGAGCTGAGCTGTGTCCCTCAGCCTGTCCTCCTCCCCACAGACTGGCAATAGGGTGGTCCCAGGGGGGGAGGGGTGCTAGGCCTCCCCCTCTGAGCCTTCCCTCGGGTGCCCTGACATGGCCTGGGGTTCATCTCACCGCTGCTGGCAGGGCGGGCATTGCCCGGGGAGAGGCCGCACTTACTGCGATCTTTCTTGTGGTCTTCCAGCCCTTGGTCTGGTCAGAGAGGTCACAGGAGGTCATCAGGAGGCAGAGGAGGAGGCTGTGGTGCTGTTTGTTGTTCCGGTCATAGCCCACTATTGAGAGGAGGGTGGGTTCCAGGGGGGCAAGGGCTCCAGGACCCACCCCCAAATGGTCTAGGAAACCCGGTGCCGTCAGCAGGAGCCCCGTGGACAGTGCCAGATCTGGGGGCGCGGGGCCTGCGGCCAAGGAGGGGATTGATGCTGCTGGCCGATGCCCCTGGAGACGTCCCTCCCCGGCCCTGAAGCCTGGGAGTCGCCGGCCAGCACCTTCAGCCATCTTCTGGAGGTCCTTGAAGATGCGCAGGTGGTGTGCCAGGTCCGTGGCCAGGATGATGTCCCGCATGAGGTCCAGCATGCGCTGATAGTCCTGGGGCGGGGAAGGCAGGGCCAGGGCATCATCATGGCTGGCCCTATCCACTTTCCGCCCCTCAGATCCTCCAGGATCCCCCACCCCCCCACCCTGGGCTCCCACCCTCTCATCCCCACCGCCCACCCCTCTTCACCTTCCGGGAGAAGTGGTCGAAGATGTTGCAGCCGTGGGTGTTGAGGATGGCGATGGCCTGTGCGAAGTGGTGTCTCTGGAGGGAGAGGGGCGACGGGGTTCCAGTGGGGAAGGGGGAACACGCCCCACAAGGGGACCCAGATGGGGAGGGACCAGGACCGGGCCCAGCACCAGTCCCCAAGGGAGGGGCTGGGCGAGCCACTCCCCTGTCTGAGTTCTGTCTCAAACATCTGGATGAAACCCTGACAGGTCAGCCTCCTCTGGCACCGCTGCCCCCTGGAGAAGCCGCCAAGATAAACTGTGAAATGCTCCCTTTGGGTCCCAGACATGAACTCCTGCGGCAAACATTTGTCTGCTGACAAGGAGGGACAGTGATGGGGAGAGGGCAAGGCCCCTGTCTGCTGACGCTAAAGGGCTGTCACTCGGAGGAGGAGCAGGCAGAGCCTGGGGCCCAGAGGGCAGAGCTGGACGCCACGGGCAGAGAGAGAAGAGTGCAGGAGGCAAAGGCAGCCCCTGGAGGGTGGGGTGGGAGGCAGGGTGGCCGAGGCCTGGGCAGGCCTGCTTCGAAGATTTGGCTCCTGTTCTGTGCCAAGCAGGGAACTCAGAGGCTGCTGGGGTCTCATCCCTGGCCCACAGAGTCCCCACCTGGGGCTGGCAGGCGCCAATCAAACAGTAGCAGGCAGAGCTGGGGGCAGAGGGCTATACGGGTACATTTCACAAGTCAGAGGGGAACAGGTCCTTTCTCCTCAAAGCGAAGCGGAGCTTGGGCAGAAGCTCCAGCCCCTTCACACCCGACCTCCTCCGAGGCAGCTCCAGACCCCAGTCAGACCTGCTCGGGGTGTAGCTGCAGTGCCCACAGCCCTTCTGTCGAGAGGCTTGGGGCAGGGGGAGCTGGGGCAGAGCACCCACTGGGAGGGGGTGACAGGGGCCCAGAGCCTGGGCAGACGGCCATACCTCCATGACAGAGCCCTCCGAGCTGTAGAGAGCAGCCAGCACAGATTTCTGGGGAAGTGCAGAACAACTCCGGTCACACCACACACCGCTGCTGCACCACACATCGCTGCCGCACCACACACCACTGCCACACCACACACCGCTGCCACATGGTGCCCAGACCTGGGCCCTGCCCTCCCTGCTTCTCTCTAGCAGCCCAGCCAATTACACTTGGCCACCCCAGGGGTGGGGGAGGGGGGACTCTCACAGCCGTGACCTTTTGGAAGCCAATCACTAGCCTTTTCTTCCTAGGCACCGGGAGGAGCTCAAACTACCAACTTTTAAATTCGTAGTTGGACGCTTAACCAATTGTGCCACCAGCCCGCCCCTCCCCCCCAGCTAGTGTCAGCCACCCTGTGCCCCCCACACCCCACACCCCAATCTCAGAGCCCAGGGGGAACCAGGGAAGACTGCCCTCCTGCATCTAAACTGGCTCCTGGCCTCCCCCAGCTCCCACCTCTCCTCAGGCAGGGAGGAGTGAGGCTCCCAGAGACACCCCACCTCCCCCAAGGGTGCCCATCTTGAGGAGCACAGGGTCTCACCGAGGCCACCTGGAAGGAGTTGTTGGTGCCCCTGTGGTCCAGGTCATGACACATGCACGAGACAAACAGGGCAAAGATCTCGATGTCCCTGGGGGAGAGGTGGTTGGGAAGAAAGAAGTGGACACCCAGCCCTTGCCTCATGACTCCCAAGGAGGAGGGGGCTCTGAGAGCTGCCCAGACACCCGGGTCCCCTTCGTAGAAGAAAGCAATGGATTTGGAGTCTAGCAGAACTGGGTACCACTGAGCTCCATCAGTCCCTGGCACTGTGACTGCACCCCATGGGGCTGTGCACCCTCACTTGGCTGTTACGGTGACAGGAGTGGGGCACCCAGCCGAGGCTTGGCCCAGAGAAGGTCCTTGCCAGTCCCAAGGAAGGAAGGGACCCCCAACAGCTCTCAGCAGGGCCTGCAGGTGCAGGCACTCACTCGAGGTAGTTTGTGAGCTCCAGGTTCTTGTAAAGAAGGTAGCAGAAGTGGGAGACGGAGAAGGCGTGCATCCAGTTGTGGTAGGGAGGGTCCCGGTAGCCCTTCTTCACCATCAAACAGAACCTGGGGAGAGGAGAGGCAGCGATGGAGGGGCTTCAGCCCTCCTCCAGGAAGGCCTCCAGGCCTGCCTTGCCCGTCCCCCAATCCTCTAGCCCCCCCACCCCGTTCCTTTTTTCATACTCTCCACCACCACCCGCCCGCCCCCGAGGTCATGGAGTCTGGGAATTGCCTCTGATCCACAGCCTTCCCCACCCCCACAGGGCTGGGGCTCCCCAGATGGGGACCCCACCCCAGAGCCTTTGGAGCAATGAACAGGAGAGCCAAGGTTGGGGGCGGGGGCTGTCTGCACAGAGAGGGGGCAAGGGTGAGGCACACACCTGGCCAGTGTGGGGCAGTCGATTTTGTAGCTATTGATGAAATTCATGTCCTGCAGCATGCTCAGAATAGCCTGGAAAGGAGGAAGAGGGGTCAGCAGTGGGGTCAATGGCTCCCTCAGTGCTACTTGCGATGGCGACAGAGCCCAAAACATACCTTGGTGTCACTGAAATGGACATGGAAAATGGTTCAATTTGCAAAGGGTGTTTCTCCTATTTTTACCGCAATAAAACTGATTTTAATGAACAACTATCATTTCTGGAGCTTTGGGTTATAGAAGAGATCTTTGAATTTCACACCTGAATTACTGAATCGAAAACCATGAGGGAGGCTGGGGGGAGGCATGACATGAATGTGTCCCTGGTGATTCCTCTTGCATGAAAAATGTGAGACTCCGATTATAATTAGATGGTCAGTGTTATATTTTTTAAAAGATGGGGCCCCTGCCCCAGTCCTCTATGAACCGTCCCCCACCTCCCACCCACACATACAATTTCAGAGTCTTAGAGACTCTCAGAGACCAAACCAAACCTACTACATCGATTCCAACTCACAGTGACCCTCCAGGACTGCCCCATGGGCTGGGCTTTCCGAGGCTGTACATTTTACGGAAGCAGACCGCTTCGTCTTTTTCCCACAGAGTGACTGGTGGGTTCGAACCACAGACCTTTTGGCTAGCAGTCCAGTGCTTAATCAACTGTGCCACCAGGGATCCTTAGAGTAAAACTAGAGAGCCATAAAATACCAGAGCTCAGCATTCTCTGACCTGTGAACTTTCAGATATATGTGGTGTGAGACCCAAGAACATTTGGGATCCAACACACTTGGAAAACGAGGGGGAAAGCACAAGCCCCCTGGACATGGACTTGGGCACAAGCAGCCCTCGGGGACTGGCTGGTTCAGCTCTAGCGCCCCCAGCCCCGGGCTTGGCAAACTCTAAGCCTCCTTCCCAGAGTGTTCCCGGAGGGCTCAAAGTGGCCGGGAAGGAAGTTCTCCGGCACAGCTGACACCTCTGGCTGCACACCCTTCCCCTTCCTGGCCAAGCACGGGGAGGCTGGCTCACCATGGACGTGTCATCCTCGGGCAGGGAGCGAGGGGTATAGGTGAAGCTGGCGAAGCTGCAGTCTATGGCAGCCACAGGCTGGATCCCGTTGTAGAGCAGTTTGGTGTATTCGTCGTCTGAGACCTAGCAGGCCCAACAGAGGGGCATCAGACACTCGCCTCCACCCGCCCAGTGGCTCGCCCCCCACTACCCACTGCGTTACTCAGAACCCACCACAGTCAAGTCGCCCATGCCCCCGCTTGTCACTGGCCAGACCTGTTGCCCCCGCTCACCCTCACAGCCCTGCAGCCACTCCGCCTCCCGGCCTGTGGTCGTTCCTATCTGAACAGTCTGGCCTCCTCCATAACGAGGGCACACCCATTTGTGACACCCCCAAGCCAGGGCAGTCTTTCCCAAACACTGCTTTTGGGGGGAAGCAGGATGGAGGGGAGGCGCTGTCCCTCAGTCCTTCGGACGGACTCCGGTTTGGACATGAGTGAGAGCTCAGGTCCACAGGGACCACGGTGAGCATGCTGCACGCTTTCTGAACTAAAACCTGGGGCAAGTTTTCTGAGCCAGGGGCTGGGGGTGGCATGGGATAACGATTGTGTCTGAGGGCAGCGATGGGTAAGGGCCCAGGGGGTGCTTCCCAAGACAGAAACTGCTCCCTGGAAGTGGGGAAACCTGGCTGAACCAATGACCTTGGGCTGGGCCTTGATGCCCTCTCTCCACCCTTGGAAGAGGAGTGGAGTAGGGAAGGAGAGCAGGAGGCCAGGCCTGGCCCTGGGTCTCTCTCCGAGTCTCTGGGGGTGGGGTGGGGCTGGGGGAGGCAGGGAAAGTATGCAGAGCGACAGGTGGCCCTGGGGCCCAACCTCACCTTCATGTGGTACATCATCATCTCGTTAGCCAGGTGGCTGCGGTACTGGGCCTCGTTGACTTTTTTGTACAGGAGGGACTGAGGTGGGAGGGGGTAGAGGAAAAGTGGAGGCTCAAGCAAAGCAGTTGTGAAATCTCAGAAGGGCACAAAACTGGTCAAAGGCGTCGGATAGAATTCCCCTTCCTCTTCCGCTCTGATGTGTCTCATCCTTGGAGCTCCAGCTCAGAGGGGAGGGGGACCCAGCCCCCCACCCCACTTCACCCGAGCCGCCCTCCCCTTCCCTGGTGCAGGCAGGCTCTCTTAGCATTTTCTCTGGCACCTATCACCCAGGCCTCCTTCCTTCTTGCTCTGGGCTTCATGGTGGAGGCCCTGGGCAAGGGAAGAAGAGGAAGGAGGGGGCACAGGGTGGCAGGGGGAAGGGAAGGGGTGGGCGTGCTAGAAACTGGATACCCAGGTCAGAGGTGCAGGCAGGTCTGAGTGCCAAGGTCTGCAAAAAAGAAGCTGGGTAGGTGTTTGGGTGAAGGTTGCTCCCACAGAAAACCCAGCTGCCACTGAGCTCCCCGCTGCCTGCTCCCTGCGCCAGAGGGAGCGGTGCTCCGCAGGGCTCCCAGCAACTGGCTTCTCAGAAGTGGATAGCCAGATCTTTCTTCCTGGGTCCTTCTAGGTAAGCCCTCAGCCTTTCTGTTAATAGCCAAGCGTGTCACCTGCCTGCCCCTCCAGGGTCTCTGCTCACTGAGAAGGGGGCAGGGGCAGACCGCTGGCTTTCCAAAAGCATTCCTTCCTTCCCTTTCTCTGACTCTCAGGATCCTGGGAAGTAAAACTCACTGCCATCAAGTTCATCTAGGCTGACTCACAGCAACAGGACAGGGCAGAGTGGAACTGCTACCCTGGGTTCCCAAAGTTGTACATTTTTTACTGATACAGATGGCCTCACCGGTCTCCCCCCACCAGGGGCTGATAGGCTTGAACTGCTGACCTTGCGGCAAACAGCCCAACACTTAGCCCAATACGCCATCAGGGCACCTTAGGGCAGAAAATAGTATCCCAAATGCACAGATGGAAAACTGAGGCGGGAGGTGGCCAGCGCCCACTGCAGGTTGCAGAGCAAGCCCGCGTCAGGGCTCTGCGTTGCAGGCCCGGACTAAAGCCACCTGGGAATGGTACCAGGAGAGTCAGGGCGGGAGAGGAAGGGAGGGCCCCGCGCGGGCCCGCCCCCCGCCCCGGGGTACAGGCTCACGTGGGCGATGCTGATGCCGCAGTAGATGGAGAAGGCCGTGGCCAGGTCCTCGTCGAACTTGCTGAACCACGGGCCATTGATCTTGTTCACCAGCTCGGCCACGCCAATGACCTCTGGGGAGGGAAAGGGGCTGGGACCGGCTGGTGGAGGGGCGACAGTGTAAACTCCCACCTAGCTTCTTCCTGCTGCCGGCGATGGGGAAGGCTCCGCCCATCCTGCTCAGACCCCGCCCCTGCCTGGCCCCGCCCCGCCCCCGCCCTGGCCGTGCCACCGCGAGCCCACCCGCACCCTGGTTCTCGTTCTTGATGGGGAAGCACAGAATGTTGCGCGTGCGGAAGCCGGTGCTGTCGTCCACGCCGCGGTAGAAAAGCGGGTGCGCATAGGCGTCCGGGATGTTTAGGATCTGCCCAGTGGTCGCCACGTGGCCCGCGATGCCCTGATCGGCCGGGATGCGGATTTCGTAGCTCTGTCGGGACAGGGATCCAGTGGGGAAGAAGAAGTTAGAGGCCCGGCCCGGGCGCCATCAAACCTCAGGTCTGCGCCCCAGAGGCTCCCGCGGGCTCTCTGCCCCCAGGACGGCGATCCCACACCCCTGCTGCGAGGCCCCCACCTCACCTCATCATCCACCACGCCCCCATCGAACACCTTGGCCACCAGTTCGTTCTGATCCAGCAGGAACACGGAGCAGCTGTGGGGAGAGGGTGCTGTCCACCGGGCCCTGACACCCCCTCTGTCCGCTCCGCCCTCCCCCTCCTCCTCCCCTCTTCAGCGACTTGATTTCTGAGGCCTCCTCTGGACTTCATTCAAATGACGCTATTGTTGTCGTTGAAAGCCTACTACGTGGCGGGCACTGTGTTAGAAGCTGTGCGTCCTACCTAGCCAGCAAGGCCAGCCTGATCCCACAGTCCACAAGGACAGGAGGGACCACCGAAAAAGCGGACAGGCCCCATAAGAAGGGGGGCGGGAGGAGAGAGGGCTGGTGCAGCTGGCGCCCAGCCTGGGGCAGTCACTCACATCTCGGAATTGCTGAGGTTTCTGGCCTCGGTGATGATCTCCTGGAGCAGGACAGAGACGTCATCTGGGGGGAGTGCGCAGTGCAGGACGGTGGTGAGATCAGGCCGGCTGGGGAGCCCAGGACAAGCCCACCAACATCTCTACTACCCAGAAGGCCAGCCCCGCCCCCATCCCACAGCCAGGCATGGAGAGAGCAGTGCACTCACCCAGGTGAGTGAAGAGGTTCTTTGCCACCTGCAGAAGAGCCTGGGGTGGAGGAAATGGGGGTCACCGTGGGTGGCAGAGGTCTCCTCCACAGACCCCAATGCCCCCACCCCACCCCCAGGGCCTCCTTACTCCTCCCCTAGAACTACCATGACAGGCGGGGAAACCAGCAATATCTACTTTGATTGTGTAACTACTGAGGGACTGGGGAGAAGAGCCCCAAGGAGGGCAGGTGTTGTTGCTGGGTGCCCCCTGACTTGACCGTTCGACTCAGAGCGAGCCTGAGGCCAGAACAACTGAAGGAAGCGGAGCCTGCACCAGCTGCCAAACGCTGTGATATTGGAGCCCGTTGTTGCAGCCACTGTATCAATCCATCTCCTTCAGGGGTTTTGTTTGTTTGTTTGTTTGTTTGTTTGTTTGTTTAGCTGTTCTTCTACGTTATCAACCATGATGTCCTTCTCCAAGGACTAGTCTCTTCTGATCACATGTCCAAACTATGCCAGCCATATGGGAAGTCTTGCCATCCTCGCTTCCAAGACAGGTTTGCTTGTTCTTCTGGTAGTCCGCAGCACTTCCAAAATTCCACATCAGCACCATAATTCAAATGCATCCCTTCTTCTTCGGTCCAATCAGGGTAGGAGGAAGGCAGGCAGGTAGGAATTGCCCAACCTGCGCCTCTCAGGTGCATTCACATCAGGCGTTCACCACCCATATGTTGCTGTAGTACACATATCGGACACTAGAGGGTAGTCCTCAACAGTGCCGGTTGCCAATGTAAACCCACTCCGGCCTCCTGGGCACAAACTTGGCGCCTTGCTGTAGGTCTGGGCTGCCATCTGCCCCAAGGACATAGACTTTTCCCTTGTAGATGGCTCTGAGGCAGAGCACTGGGCAAGTTGTTCCCAAGACAGGCATGGGGCTGGACACCCACCTGGCACTCACGCTTGAGTTTCTGCTCTTTCTGGAAGGCCAAGGTGCTGATGAGCACGGTGCTGGTGTAGCGGAAGCAGTGCTCCACCACATGCTCATCGTGGTCCGTGAACCTGGGGAGGCAGGGGTGGGGGGGGTGGACATCACAAAAGAGGAACGAAATCTTCCTTTCCGCATTACTTACCCCCATTCCTGCAGGAAGCGGCTTGGAAACCACCCGCTCATATAACCCTCTCCGCTGGGGCTGTCCCATGCACTGCTGGCTTGGCCCTGCTTCCCTCTCAAACTGTGGGTTCTCTGAGGGGAGGGTCTTCTTCTATACCCTCTCAGGACACAAGGTTTCCCCTCCTCAAGCTACTGCTTATTGAAGTCATAGCCAGGTCTCTGTCCTCTGCCTTGTGATTCACCCAGACCAAGGCTGGAACCCTCCCTCGGAATGGAGACTTATTCCGGTCAGAACTGGGAGGGGACCCTCCAGTCTCAGAGAAGAGTGATGGCACTGCCCAGTGGTTAGGGTCTGGCCTGGTCTAATCACAGGCTTGGCCCAGTCTAATCACAGGCCTGGCCTGGCTCTTGTCACTTGCTCCATGCTCTCTAGACTTTGCTGGCCGGTTTGGATTCCTCCACGAATCCCAAGGAGGCGGTAAGGAGGGCAAGGCCCACCCACACCCAGAGGGAGCTCTTGCTGACAAGGATCAGGCCCCAACCCTGCTACTATCATTCAATCCTGCCACCAAATGACTGGATGGACCAACTAAGTGGAACTTGGACTTGAGATGTGGGTCGGGCTCTCTAGGGGGTGTCTGTGGAGGTGGAAAAACTACTTCAGCCATCTGAACCCTATGACCCTGGTCCCCTTTCCATTCTTTGCTGGACTCAATCTGCCTCACTGCCCAGTCATGCTGATGGTCTGGTTGCTCAGGTCTGGAACCCAATCCTCCACATGCTGTGCTTGGCTGCTCTCCAAGTTTAGTGGCCATGGGGCACTCTTGTCCTGAGCCTGCAGCCAAGTCAGACCAGGCTGATGCTCCCGAGACTCATTCTCGCTGAGTACATTCTCAGCACGATGGTCCAGGCTGCTACAACTGGCCCATGAGGTGGTGGCGGGGCATGAAATCTATTCATGGTATTGCTGACCCCACATAGGACCTCAGTTCTTAAAACCGGCTTCCTAAGCCGCCTGGTCTGTTTCCTTGGGTGCTATGCCCTGCATGATTCCTAGACTGGTCCCAGAGGCCCCCTCTAGCCCTTGTCCACTCTGTTGATGATTCTCTGTGGGAGAGCTCATCCTCCCCCTCCAGCAGGCAGTTCCCAGAAGGAATGTCCAAAGGAGGTGGCCAGCTTCAGGGAGATGTACGCTTCAGGAAGTGAAGTGAGAGAAGGGCGGCTCAGTTTGGGGTCCCACATGATTAAGTATGCTGCAGTGGGTGAGGGAGAGCTGATGGTGACCTGCGCTTCAACCAGCCACAGCTACAAGGGCCAGCAACTCCCGCAACCCCACAGTCTCTTGCTCTGAAAAACAATTCAGCCCTGTCTTCCCCCTGCAGCTTCCCTTCTCCGGATCCACGAATCCCACCCCCACCCCGCTGCCTGACTGGCGTGGTAGACCCTACTAAGCTCCATCCTCATACCAGCACCCTAGCACAGCCCTGCTGAGCCTCTCAGCTGCCTGCTAAGACTTACGAGTCTCCTCCAAGTTTGTTGAAGGCGCAAGACAGAGCCACCACCTGGTCGGTGGCCCGGCTGATGACAGGGACGCACAACATAGCCTGCAGCTCACAGCCCAGCACGCTTTGCAGCTGTTGCACATCCTCCTGCAGAGAAGAGGGAAAACGGAGTCCAGTTGGGACAGAGGAGGAAGGCGGGGAGGGGGAGAATGGGGGTGGAATGGTATGTTCCCTCCTTCATCGCTCCACCACCACCTTCTGCAACAGGGAGTTCATGGAGTTTGGAGAGGCTCATGCAAGGGGTTCAAGTGCTATGGCAGGAGGATAGTATAGGAGAAGTCCTGGGGTCTTGTCTCATGGCTGGGCTGCTCTGTCCCAGAGACCCTGCCTCTGGGGGGCTGGGTCGTGGGCCCCCCTCCCCCAGTTCAGTCAGGCTGTGGCTCACAGAGGTGAGGTCCTTCAGCTGGATGGACTTCTTGTCTTCCACCACCTGGCCCAGGCGTCCGGTTGTCAGCTGGGAAAGAGGATGGAGGCTGCATCAAGGTACACTGAGGGGATCCCAGCCTGCCCCCCACCCCCAACGAGTCCCAGAGCTTCAACAATCCCTTCAGTCATGAGATAAAGGTCCAGAGAGAGGGAGGGAGACGCTGCTCTTGACCAGAATCTCTCATAGAAGAACTCTGGCGAATTCCCCAGCCTGGACAAGCTGACACCAAGGATCCCCACTGATTTGAACAGATTCTAAGAAACCCAAATCCTGGAAGATTCCACCAGAAGTCAACTGGTCCCCGAGTAAGCATAACGGTCGGACACCTTTCTATAGCTCCTGGACAAATTCTCCTAGCAGATTCTGGTGGCTCTCTAGATTGTTTATAAATCTATCCCCAAATCCAGATAAACCCCATCAGGTTTCAAGAGAGTTCATGGGACCCCATCTCCTCGAGGTGCCCCCAGCGTGCCTGCTGTTACTCTTACGTGTCACAGGGTGGCAGGGAGCAATGGAACTGTCTCCAGACCGCCCATGCACCGAGGGGTTAGATGGCTGTGACCCATAGCGTTTCATTTAGCTGATTTGGGAGTGGTCCCATTGTCAAGCCTTTCTTCCTGGTCTGTGGTCTTCATCAGAAGCCCCCACCCCACCCCCCGAAACTTGTTCAGCCTCCACTGGCAGAGGGGTAGGGCGTGTCAGACCATGGACTAGGAATCAAGTTTGCTCCCCCCCAAAGGAAGCGAGAATCACACTCTGGGGCCCACTCCAAGAACACCTGCCACCCCTACCCCAGGGGGATGTGACCCCCAGGCTCACCGGAAAGCTGATCTCCTCCTCCAGCACTTTATCTCCGATGACCTGAGGATCCGAGGGGCGGAGGGCAGGGCTCCAGTTAAAGGAAGGCCAGCCAGGATGTACCCCTCAGAGATCTCAGTGCCCCGACCCCCTGCCCCGCGGACAGGCACGGGGACGGGGAGGAGGAGGGGCTCACCTTGCAGGAAAGCTGGAGGTTGTCCTCAGACACCAGCAAGAGGCAGCACCGCGAGGCCTGGGTCTCCTGCTGCAGCTGAGAAGGAGGAGCCGAGGGAAGAGCTGAGCACTTAGCGGGGCCGCTGTCACTCCCCACCTGCCGCCCCCTCGGAGCCCCTTGGGACAGGTGCAAAGGGGGGGAAGCGGCGGGGCTTTGGAACGTGGGAATCTGAGGGGAGGTTGGCGTGTCCCTGGAGAGGAGCCCAGGGACTCACATAGTGGAGAACTTTGAGTTGCAAGGAGGAGGCGTCCAGGTCGTAGAGTTCCCCTGCGAGGGAGGGCCGGAGCGAGTCGGACGGCGGGCCCCACCCTCCTGCCCCCTCCAGCCCGCA